TGTGGTCCCAGCTACTTGGGAGGCGGAGCAGGAGACTTGCTTGAGCCCAGGAGTTGGAGGTTGCTGTGAGCTGTGATGCCACAGCCTCTACCCATGGGGACGGCTTGAGGCTCTGTCTCAAAAAAAAAAAAAAAAAAAAAGATGAAGTATAAAGGGGAAAAGGGACTAACAATTATTGATAATGACTACTTTGTTAAGCATGTGTTAAGAGCTCTGGATACCTTCATTAAGTTGAATCTATTCCAGAAATACAAGGTTGGTTTAACACTGAAAATATAATCAATATAATTTACCATAATGACAAACCAAAAAAAAGGAAAATCCTACCATCTCAGTAGACACATAAAAAGCCTTTGAAGGGTGGTACCTGTGGCTAAGTGGGTAGGGCACTGGCCCCATATATGGAGGGTGGTGGGTTCAAACCCAGCCCCGGCCAAACTGCAACAACAACAAAGAGCCTTTGGAAAAAATTCAAAATCCATTCATGATCAAAACTCGTACCAAATTTGGACAGAAAGGGTAAGAATTTTGAAGTGGTTATTATAGCTATCTTTAAATGTCTTAAAGGAAAATATGTCCATAATAAATGCAAAGATAGGACATCTAAAAAGAGAAATAAGAACTATAAACAAGGACTAAATTTAAACCCTAGAACTAAAAATATATAGTATCTACAATAAATATAATCCAAGAAAGATATCATACGTCTTTCGAGTTTCTCAGTAATCTAGTAATCTGTAGTGAGTATGGACATTGTATTATAACTTTAAAAAACCTAAAATACAAACATTAATATAACATACCAAAAATTTGAACTACAGAATTGATGTTCTCTTGATTTTTGTATGTGATTTTCTCGAATTTTTTTTTTGATTTTCTAGAATTTAAAATGAGAAAGTACTAGATTAATTGATTCATTTAGTTTATAAAAAACTTGTGAGGCTACTAAGGTTTAAAACAGTGATGATATTAAGTCAGAAGAAAAACAAAAATAAACTAGAACCTCCATAGATGACCTCTTCTCTACACTAACTACCTTCTTAAGTTGACCAAGTTTTTACAGACTGGACACACACCACATGCACCTAGTAGTACAGTAGGCCTGGTTCCTTATGTTAACCACCTCCATTATGTGGACCAGTTTGTTACAGTCCTTGGGGTGGTCACCTTACAGAGGTTCAACTGTAGTATCTGTCCTCAAGGAAAAATCTAGAAGGAAGAGTTCATAGTCTCTAAGAAGCCCTTTGTAATTATGTTTTTGTATATTAGTAACTATTTAATAAGATTAATTCTATGCCAATAAGGCTCAAAAGGGATACTATATATATGTTTGGCAAAGTATACATAGCAAGTATCTCAAAATTTCAGCAATCCTATGATCCTTACATGCAGAAATTCTTGTAAGAATTTTACTTAACTATTTTCACATTTCTAAAAATTAGTGCATTTAAACATTTCTAAAATTAGTGCATGAGTTCCAGGCCAGGAACTCATGCCTGTAATCCTAGCACTATAGGAGACCAAGCTGGGAGGACTGCTTGAGGCCAGGAGTTCAAGACCAACCTGAGCAAGCATGGGAACCTTCCTCTACTAAAAACAGAAAAACTAGTAGGCCACAGCAGCATGTGTCTGTAGTCCCAGATACTAAGGAGGCTGAGGTGGGAGGATCATCTGAGATTGCACTGAACTATGATGACACTACTGCATTCTAGCCTGCATGACACAGTAAGACCCTGTCTCAAAAATAATTCTGACAATCAGAACTTTCTTATGTTTGTCCTGATAGGTCTTTAGGGTAATTCTCAGTTCTGAATCACTTCATATTTTTTTGCACGCTTAAAAAAAGGCTCAAACACTGAAAATGGGTGAAACTAAAGAATGTTCAAAAAAACTAAAAATTACCTTTCTCTAGATCTAAAAGTGTGAAAATAACAAGAGTCAGCCATATTATAAGTAATTTTACAAAATGTTTTATTATTTTAAAAAATCGAAAGAATTTGTAGTAGATTAAAAATAGAGAATTCCTAAAACTATGAAACAACAAGGGGCAAGTGCAGCGCAGCATCAGAGTGCTGATGTGGGATTAGAATGAGACAAGCCTCAGTCCGGGGCAGTGATTTCCACACGGCACACAGGCATGCCACGAAATTTTTAAAAGATCATTAACTGAATTATTTTCAAAAGAACTTCAAAGCACAGTAAGTATATTCTTTTTTTTTACTCTGTTTTTGATCAATATAATTTAAGTATGCTGTGGAAGTTTAACTATAGCTTCAAGTATGCTATGAAATAAAAAAAAGTTGAAAAACACTGCTCTAGGATCACTACCTTCTAAAATACATGCACTTAAGTGACTCTACTATGAGTAGAATACTTTGTTTAAAAACTAGCACAGGGTCACTGGGCAGATTGAAAAATTACTATTAGTTACATAAATTGATACAACTCTTTATAGAAGTATTTAGGCCAAATTTCCTGGAAAAAAAATTTGTTTTTAAGAGATAAGGTCTCACACTCTGTTACCCAGGCTAGAGTACAGTGGCACTCATAGCTCACAGCAGCCTTAAATGCTTGGGCTCAAGAGATCCTCCTTACCTCAGCCTTCCACCAGAGCCTTTGGAGTAGCTAGGACTACAGGAATGTGCTACTAAGCCCATCTAATCGTTTTCTTTTAAATTTTTTTTGTAGAGATGCCAGTCTCAAATTCCTGGCTTCAAATGATCCCAAAGTTTAGGGATTACAGGTATGAGCAATTGTGTCCAGCTGTGAAATGTTGTAGGAATCGGGGTGGAGATTAAGATTCTGTAAGTTTAGAATTCATTTCAGGGCTTCTCAGTCTTAAATATGTGAATGTTCATTGTAAGTTTGCAAAATGGAAACCTTTTTTTTTTTTTTTTGCGACAGAGTCTCACTATGTCACCCTTGATAGAGTGCTGTAGCATCACAGCTCATAGCAACCTCAAACTCTTGGGCTTAAGCAATTCTCTTG